AGTTCTAGATGTTCATCAGTCTCCTAAGTGCTGGGGTTCTGGGTGTTTCATCAGTCTCTTGAGTGCTGGGTTTCTAGGTGTTTCATCAGCCTCCCAAGTACTGGGGTTCTAGGTGTTCCATTGGCCTCCTGAGTGCTGGGGTACAGGGGCTCATCAGCCTCCTGAGTGCTGGGGTTCTAGTCATGCAATGTTCATATGCGATCACACACTATCAGCAATCTCTGTACCTGTCTCACTAATCAGATGTCACAGCAGGCGCTGTCCACTGCTGAGAACTATACCTACTCCATCCATTTGCTCACTACTCTATGGGAAAGAAGTCTCCTTTCATACAAACCACAGACTACTACTACTAAAAACTTACAACCTCTCAGAAACTGGCTCAGTTACTGAGTTAAAAGCAAAACTACATCTTGAAAATAAAGATGATGGTGCCATATTGTTTTTACCAAGTCAAACTTGTCCATGAGGCGTGTACCCTGTGACATCACTATGGGAAATGTGGAGGTTGGAGGGGAAGGGCTAGGACACGCAGAATCTGTGACAATCTAATCTCCCTTCTGCTTTAAGCAGCCGCCTGGCCTTGAGCAAGTCACTTGAGCTGGGGATTCCTCCTCTGAAAGGAGAGACTATACTTGGCTCTGATATAAAATGCTGTGGGGGATGAGTGGAAGCTATGGACAGACAGAGAACTTTCCCTTTTGGCCGGGGGCCAGCCCAGACATCAGCATCTTTAATCACTATACCCCTTCTCCCATTTAGGAAATATTTGACTAAATAAATTAATTTCTGACCTGTTTTACGGATTGTTTTCTATTGTTTGGTTCTTTGGTTGGTTTTGGTTTGGTTTTTCTAAGACAGGATTTCTCTGTGTAATAGCCCTGGCTATCCTGGAACTCACTCTGTAAACCAGGCTGTCCTGGAACTCACAGAGATCTGCCTGCCTCCAGCTCCAAGTGCTAGGACTAAAGGTGTGCACCACCATGCCAGGCACTGTTTATTTTGTTGTTAAGGCTTCTTTGGGGACTGGAGAGATGGCTCATCGGTAAAGAGTACCTGGAGCTCTTCCCAGGACTTGAGTTGGGTTTGCAGTATCCAGTTCAGTTGCTCACAACCATCTGCAACTCTAGCTCCAGGGGGATCTGAGGTCTCTCTTTGAAAAGCTGCAGTCATATGTGCAAACCCACACAGACAAACACATATGAATAATGCACAGTAAAAATACGCTGGGAGTGGGGGCATATGCCTTTAATCCCAACACTTGGCAGGCAGACCTCTGTGAGTTTGAGGTTTGAGACCAACTTGGTCTACATGGGAGTTATAACCCATGAGCTACATAGTGGGACCCCATCTCAATAAATAAATAAGTTTTCAAAACAATGAGTATTTAATTTTTTGTTTAGTTTAAGGCAGCGGGTTAGGGGTGGGATTGTGGTTCATACCTTTAATCCCAGCATTCAGGAGGCAGAGGCAGAGGCAGATGAATCTCTGTGACTTCAAGGCCAACCAGTTCTACAGAGCAAATTCCAGGACAGTCATGGATAGGCAGAGAACAGTGTTTTGAAAAAACACATGAATTTTTTTTAGTTTAATAGCAAAACCACAAATTCACAATCATCTAACTAGGATATCAAAATACCACTTACTTTTCTAATATACATCCTGAAGCCAGATTTTTCATAACAGATCACATCCCAAAACAAAAGAACATGGATGTCTCCCATAAGTCATATACCAAAAAAAAAACCCTTAAAATGTGAAAAACTTTATTATTTCTACCACATTTTTGTTAACTACAGTACTTTAAAAATATTCTACTTTTGCTGGGCAGTAGTGGCACACATCTTTAATACCAGAACTTGGGAGGCAGAGGCAAGTGATCTCTGTGAGTTCAAGGCCAGCCTGGTGTACAAGAGCTACTTCCAGGAGAGCCTCCAAAGCCACAGAGAAACCGTGTCTCAAAAAAAAAATTGTCTTTATTATTGTTGCCATTTTTTTGGTCTTGGTTTTGTTTTTAAAGACAAAGTCTCAGCCAAGCATTGGTGGCACATGCCTTTAATCCCAGGACTTGGGAGGCAGAGGCAGGTGGATCTCTGTGAGTTCGAGGCCAGCCTGGTCTAAAGAGCAAGTTCCAGGACAGCTTCCAAAACAATACAGAGAAATCCTGTCTCGAAAAACAAACAAACATATAAATAAATAAATAAATAAATAAATAAATAAATAAATAAATAAATAAAAGAAGTGTGAAGTATAATGACATTTTAATTTTTCCCCTCTATGTCTATTTTATTAGTATGGGTGTTTTGCCTGCATATATGTCTCTGCACTGCAGGCATGCAATGCTCTTTAAGACCAGAAGAGGGCATCAGAATCCATAGGACTAGAGTTACACAGGTTGTCAGCCATCATGTAGGTGCTAGGAATCCAACTCAAGTCTTCTGGAAGAGCACTCAGTGCTCTTAACTGCTGAGCCATCCTTCCAGCCCAAAATAATGACATATTTTGACAAACTAGGCTGTTTCCACTGTGTGAAGGTGTGTCACTATGACTGGCTTAATTAATAAAGAGCTGAATGATCAATAGCTAGGCAGGAAGAGGTTAGGCAGCACTTCTGGGGACAGAAAAGATTCAGAGAAGAAGAAAAGCAGGGTCACCAGCCAGACTCAAAGAAAGAAGTGTGAGCAGTAGAGAGAGATAATGAGGTAATGAGCCACGTGGCAGAATGTAGATTGAAATAAATGAGTTTAAGTTATAAGAGCTAGTAGGCCAAGCTTACATAATTAATAATGTCTTTGTGCAGTTATCTGGGAGTTGACCATACAAAGAAAGTCTTGCTAGAGTGGGGAATAGAAGGAGAGAGAGAGAATATATGAATATCCTAGTCAGATTTAACTGTCGACTTGACACAACATAGAATCACCTGAGAAGGGAGTCTTAATTGAGATCAAATCAGATTGGCCAAGTCTTTAGGGGATTATCTTGATTGTTAGTTGGAGGAAGACCCAGCCTACTGTGGACTGAGAGAGAGACAGAGAGAGAGAGAGAGAGAGAGAGAGAGAGAGAGAGAGAGAGAGAGAGAGAGAGAGAGAGAGAGAAACCTAAATAAATAAGATATTATTTAAAAAGCTGATGAAGGGCTGCGGGTATAGCTGAGTGGCAGGGTGCTTGCTTGCCTAATGTGTGAAGCCTGGGTCTGATTCCAGGACTTCCTGAACCAGCTGTGCTGGTGCACAACTGTAGTGGCCTTCAGGAGATGAAGACAGGAGAATCAAGAGCTCAAAGTCATTCTTGACCACATAGTGAGTTCAAGACCAGTCTGGGATGTGAGATCCTGGCCCCAAAACAATAATGAATGAACGATGTATGTGGAACATGCAGTGCCTTCGTTGTCAGCAGTGCCAGGACATTTGGATGACCCCCCCTTTTTTTTTCCAGACAGGGTTTCTCTGTATTGTTTTGGAGCCTGTCCTGGAACTCCCTTGGTAGACCAGGCTGGTCTCGAACTCACAAAGATCCGCCTGCCTCTGCCTCGTGAGTGCTGGGAGTAAAGGTGTGTGCTACTACCTCTCATTTTTATGGATAGAGGAATATAAGTTTAACAATGATGGCAGGTAGCCTCTAAATGAGAGGAGAGGGTGTCAACTATCTAGGAAAATGAGGGTGCTTCACGGTGGTGGCAAGAGCTGTGGGGTGATCTGGAGGGGATATAGGGCCATGCTTGTTAGAAAGATGGCAGATGTGAACGCCCCAGCCTATGCTTCATCTGTAGTCTAATGACATGGATGCTGGCTCCAGCTCGAGATGAAGAAGCCCTGCCAGTGCTTGTGGCTCACTGCCACCTCAGTGTCTTGCAGAGACACCCATAAAGTCCCACACAGCTCATTTCCCTAACGGCCTTCTCAGCTCTCCACCAATGACCTCCCCCCCAGTCACCCTGGGCTGCTTATTTATTCCTTTATCAGTAACTGTTCTGCAATCCCTGCTTGTTAACGGTATTAAGAGGGGCCTAGTGACGTGTTCCTGAGGTCACTTCCTATAGCTAGTGTCACACTGGGGCTGCACAGACAAAGACTGGGAAACACTGCAGTCAGTTCCAGTTGACCCACAAAGAAGCATGAGTGTAGCCAGGATTTAAGAAATGATACATAGAGGGGTGGCCACGGGCTGGTGACTGAAGACCAGCAGGGCTCTGTGTTGGTGAAGAACATGAAAAGGACCTCACAGCCTTTTTATTTCCTTATATTTAAATTTTTAATTAGTAGATATAAAAATAATGAGTTTCAGTATGGCATTTTCACAAACAGGTATAATGCATTTTGCTCTCCCCCTTCCCAATCTTCCTCTTGTTACTCCTGCACCCTCCTGCTTGTCCCCTTCCTCTTGGTTCCCATTCTGCATATAATCTAGATTCTGCATATGAAAAAACATGAATTTCTTTTTCCCCATGATTACCTTCTCTTGCCCCCCCATTGGTCCCTTCTTTCGTTCCTCTTTCTTTTTTCCCTCCATATATGTTTTTATTTAAATTAGAAACACGCATGCTTCACATGTCAATCCCAGCTCCCTCTCCCACCCCTCCTCCCTTGTCCCTTCACCAGCCCCCTCCCCCAGCCCAATCCCCACATCATTCCCCAGGGAGGGTGAGGCCCTCCTTGGGGGGATCTCCAGAGTCTGTCATTTCATCCAGGGCAGGACCTAGGCCCTTCCCCCTGTATCCAGGCTGAGAGAGCATCCCTCCATGTGGAATGGGCTCCCAAAGTTCATTTGTACGCCATGGTGAACACTGATCTACTACCCAATGTCCTAGTGATTTCTGAGGCCTCCTCACTGACACTACATTCATGGAGTCTGGATCAGTCCCCTGCTGGCCTCTCAGCCATTAGTCTAGGGTTCAAGAGCTCCCCCTTGTCCAGTCAGCTGTCTTTGTGGGTTTCACCAGCATGGTCTTGACCAGTTTGCTCATCACTCCTCCGTCTCTGTCACTGGGCTCCAGGGGTGCAGTTCAGTGTTTAGCTGTGGGTATCTGTCTTTGCTTCCATCATTCACTGGATGAAGGTTCTAGGATGGCATATAAGGTAGTCATCAACTTTATCATCAGGGAGGAGCTATTAATGTAGTCTCTCCGCTATTGCTTAGTTTGCCAGTTGGTGTTACCCTTGTAGATCTCTAGAGATCTCACTAGTGTCAGCTCTCTCCTCAAACCTATAATGACTCCATCTATTATGGTATCTCTCATCCTGCTCTCCTCTATTCTTACCCCGACTCAACCTTCCTGATCCACCATGTCTTCTTCTCCCCTCTTCTTATCCCCCTCTCCTTTTCCTGTTTCCTTATCTCCTCCCTCAGTGTTCCCAATCTGCTCAGGAGATCTTGCTTCTTTTCACTTCTCTGGGATATAATACATATCTCTTGGGAACCTCCCTGTTTCCCAGACTCACTGGCACTGGGACTGTAGGCTGGCACTCCCCTGATCCATGTCTAAAATCCATATATGAGTGAGTACATACCATGTTTGTCTTTTTGTGACTGGGTTACCTAACTCAGGATGGTTTCTTCTAGTGCCATCCATTTGCCTGCAAATTTCAAGATTCCATTGATTTTTTTTTACCGCTGAATAGTGTTCCATTGTGTAAATGTACCACATTTTCTCTATCCACTCTTCAGTTGTGGGGCATCTAGGTTTCTTCCAGGATCTAGCTATTACAAATAATGTTGCTATGAACATAGTGGAACAGACACCCTTGTTGTATGAATGTGCATCTTTTAGGTATATGCCTAAGAGTGGAATTCTGGGTCTTGTGGTAGACTGATTCCCATTTTCCTGAGGAATCTCCATACTGATTTCCATAGTGGCTGGTTTTTCAAGACAGGGTTTCTCTGTGGCTTTGGAGGCTGTCCTGGAACTAGCTCTTGTAGACGGGGCTGGTCTCCAAACTCCCAGATATCTGCCTGCCTCTGCCTCCCTGGGATTAAAGGCGTGTGCCACCCATGCCGGGCCATTTTAGTCTTCTTTATGACTAAATAAAACACACACTTTGTTATATAAGTGTAGGGGGAGTTTTTTGTTAAGACCACCAGCCAGTCAGCTCTGTCCTGCCAGCCAGCTACCAAATAACCACACAGAGACTTCTTATTAACTACAAATGCTCAGCCAATAGCTTAGGCTTGTTACTAACTAGCTCTACGTCTTAAATTAACCCAAATATATATATATATTTGGTTTTTTGAGACAGTGATTCTCTGTGACTTTGTGACTTTGGAGGCTGTCCTGGAAATCACTCTGTAGACCAGGCTGGCCTTGGACTCACAGAGATTTGCCTGCCTCTGCCTCCCAAGTGCTGAGACTAAAGGCATGCGCCACCACTGCCCGGCTTAAATTAACCCATATTTCTTATCTACGCTCTCCCATGTGATGGTGCCTTTTCTCAGCACAGCATGTTCATCTCCTGTTTCCTCTGTGTCTGGCTGATGACTCCCCATCACTCAGCCCTTCTTCCCAGCACTGTCTTTCTGTCCACAAGTCACGCCTAACCTCTACTTGCTTAGCTACTGTCCTGTCAGTTCTTCATTAACAATGAGAGCAACACACCTTCACATGTAAGTTTTATTACACATGCGCACATACACCCCACATTCATCTGTTGAGCATCTAAGCTGCTTCTTGTCCTAGCTGCTGAATGGTGCAGCAATAAGCAGGGTATGGCCGGGCGTTGGTGGCGCACGCCTTTAATCCCAGCACTCGGGAGGCAGAGGCAGGCGGATCTCTGTGAGTTCGAGACCAGCCTGGACTACCAAGCGAGTTCCAGGACAGCCTCCAAAGCCACAGAGAAACCCTGTCCTCGAAAAAAAAAAACAAAAACAAAAACAAAACAAAACAAAATAAGCAGGGTACGCATATCTCTGTGGGATGCCTACTTGGCCTTCTTCAGTTAGAATCCAGCAGTGATAAAACGGAGTCACACAGTCCAGGACAGCTTTGAGGAACAGCCACTAGTCATACTGCCCAGAATTCAGTTCCTATCTGGTTTGCTCCCTCTGCTGTCTCCTCCCTGACTGTCACTCTAGTGGGATGCTGCTGTGTAGATCTCTGAGGTGCTGGGATGGCAGCCTCCCTGATACCATTCTACCTCCTGCTTCCAACAACTTACTCAGAATGAACTTTGTCAGTCCAGAACTCACACTGCTCCACTGCATAGTAATCATAATAACCTTCAGCGGGGTCTCCAGTCACATATACAGGACAAGATGGGGCTTTTAATGCTTGGCTGCCTTTTCCCCTCTTCAAGTCCTCACCTCTCGTCACAAGCACACACACAGATACACACACAGATACACACACACACACACACACAGACACAGACACGCACACACATTCATTGGTCCTTTCACACGCATGTGCTGCTGCTCTTTCATATCCATTGGAGCTACATTCTTTGAATTCCTCTCACTTTTTCTTCCACTGAAGAAATGAATAGAGAGGCGGTTACTTAGACAGGGACAAACTAACAGACTTGGTAACAAAGATAAAGAGGAAGAGAAGCAAGAAGAAAGAAACAGATCAGTTGAGTCTACAAAGTTTAAAAACTTGTTACATTTAAAGAGACCCCCATTGAAAGCAATCCTGTGCCTTCTCGAGGAGCCGGCTCGGAACTCTAAGCATGCCTGGAGAACTGAAAGGAATCCAGACAGAGGTCAGCAAAACCAAAGGAACTTAAATGCAGCCTTACGGCTGTCCCTTTAAGAATTAATTTTTTTTTTTTAAATCTGGTGAAGCCCTGATAATGGAACACTCTCCAGTGATGAATGGGCCACAGGGCTGCACAAATATGTGGGCTTCACATTCCTGGAGGCTAAAGTCCTGCTGCTGTCAGGGAGCCAAAGACAAATCTCCAGAAAGCGCAGCCAGTTACGGCTGTGGGGGTGGGGCCAGAATGAGAATTCCATCCTTCAAACACACACATCTTGGAAAGAGTGGGGGAAATTTTGCATTCCAGAATATTTGAAAGTCAAAGTTTGGAAGCTTAATTAACATTCTGGAGAACAAATAAGCTGGAAAAACAAAAAAAGAGGGCTGAGTGGTAGAGTGTTTGCCTGGAATACACTTGGCCGTGGGTTCAATGCTCAGCACTGAAGTTGTCCTAAGCCTGGGGTGATGACAACTGGTCCTATGGAAACCAAGGAAGGACTCTATGAGGAAACTGGGTAGGAGTTTAAGAAGACAGACATCTGAATAATGTTAGAAATAATGATAATGGATGTTGCAAGGAAGAGAAGGTAAAGTTATAAGAGTAGAACTAAAGCCGGGAGGTAGTAGAGCACGCCTTTAATCCCAGCACTCTGGAGGCAGAGGCAGGCAGATCTCTGTGAGTTCGAGACCAGTCTGGTCTACAAGAGCTAGTTCCAGGTCAGCCTCCAAAGCCACAGAGAAATCCTGTCTCGGAAAAAAAAAAAAAAAGAGTAGAACTATGGGATTGGAGGAATGTTCAGAGATTAAGAGCCGCTATGGCTGGGCAGAAGTGGCGCATGCCTTTGAGCTTAGTTCTCACGAGGCAGAGGCCAGCCTGGTCTACAAATCAATTTCCAGGACAGCCAGGGCTACATAGAGAAACCCTGTTTGAAAAACAAAACAAAACAACAACAACAACAAAAAAGAACACCTGCTACCCTTGCAGAGGATCCAGATTTGGTTCCCATTACCCACATCAAGTGGCTCACAACTCCTATAACTCTAGTTCCAGGGGATCAAACACCCACTTCTGACCTCTGAAGGTGTTACATACATGTGACACATTTACTTATATACAAGCAAAACCCCCACGCACATAAATACGTTAAAAAAAAAAAGTAAAAATGTGAGAGGAGGCTAATTTGCCTCACCATAATAACAATTTCACCTCTGTGGCATCCCACAATTTTCATTTGATGTTTGTAAGTCTCAAATATGCAGCCCTGGCTGTCTGGAACTCACTCTGTAGACCAGGCTGGCCTTGAACTCAGAGATCCACCTGCCTCCTGAGTGCTGTGATCAAAACTGTGCTATCACTGCCAAGCTAGTTTGGTTATTTTAAGGTACCAAATGGTGAGACCCTGTTTCAAAAATAGTGATGATGATGATAAATGAACAGCAACAACAACAATAATAATAATAACAGACTGAAGCGCTTGGCTTGGACAGACTGAAGAGCATGCAGGAGGAAGCAGCCGCTTGGCTTGGAATTGGGAATTCACTGAGAGAGCAGCCTAATTAACAAACCTCACAGAAGCCCCCTTCTATGAGGTAAATGAGGCTGAATTTTTTGCTGTTGTTTTGTCTGACCCACCCCATCCCCAGAAAGGGGTTCTCTGTGTAGCCCTAGCTGTCCGGAACTCCGGGCTGTAGACCAGGTCTGCCTTGAACTCAGCAATCTACTTGCTTCTACCTCCCAAGGGCTGGCTACGGAGGCTGAACATTCTAATAATCACACTGGTTCCAGGAATTATCTTCATTTTGAATCTGATATCAAATAATATAAAGGAGAAGAAAAAACTGTAAGATTCTAGCTAACTGGTAGGGCATAGGAATGAGATGAATATGAAAGTCATGTGTGCTGGGTGTGTAGAAACTGTCATGTTAGTTGCAAATGTTAAAAGCTGTGGCAGTTTGAATGTAATTGGCCCCCATAAACTCAGGGAGTGACATTATTAGGAGGTGTGGCTTTGTTAGAGTAGGTACGGCCTTGTTGGAAGAAGTGTGTCACTGTGGAGGTGGGCTTTGAGGTTTCATATGCTCAAGCCACACCCAGTGTCTCAGGTCACTTCCTGTTGCCTGCTTATCAAGCTGTAACTCTTTCTCCACTCTCAGCTTCTTCTCCAGCACCATGCCTGCACGCTGCCATGGCCCACCATGATAAGGAACTGAACCTCTGAAACTGTAAGCCACCCAATTAAATGCTTTCAAGTGTTACCATGGTCATGTGTCTCTTCACAGCAATTAGAAACCCTAACTAAGGACCGAAATCATCTGTGACCCAAGGCAAAGGTGGAGTCTGAGCTAGGCAAGAACCAGGAAGAAAACAGAA